TGGATAATTTTACTTTTTTGTTGTTTTTGGCTTTTTTTTGCTTTTTTTTCTTGCTTTTTTTTAAATTACCATTGCCATTGAAAATTTGCTTAAACTTAATGATGTTCTAAGCCTCAGTTCAAACCACATTTCTCAGTCTGATCTCATCTTTTCCAAATGGCACCTCCAAACATCTTGTTCTTACAGACCACACTTGGGTCTTCATGTGCAACATCTCAGGGAATGGGTACGTGTCTGTCAGAGCATTTACAAGGTTGCTCTGGAAATTCGGGAGCCAAGARCTTGTTTCTCCTTGTGCTCTCTGGGGTGCAGGCAGGCAGCAGCTGTCTCTCAATTCAAAGGCAAAGGAGCAGAGTGATCCTGCTGTAGTAGGAATGGACTTTGGGCCTCTGTTGTTTCAGAACTGATACAGCACCTCAAGAGCTTTGCTGCCATCAGCAAGTGAATGTGTACCCGGGGCTCTGGAATTGCACTCTGACATTTTCTGGGTATTTGCCATCCTTCTAAGCAGATGTTTAGCATGAACATTGTTCCTTCTTCATGTAATGCTCTATGTTAGTTCTGGGCAGCACAATGTCTGCTTTAACAAGGATGTAATTGCTTGTCACAGAGTTGCAGGCTTACCTCTGGCTGAGCTGGGTTTTGGATGAAGACCCCTGCTCAATCTAGGAGTGTTTTCCCCCTGACCCCCCCACTGTGGAGCCGTTCTGGTTCAGCTGCAAGCTGGAACAGACCAGGGTCAAGGAACATTCCCTCATCCCACCCCAAGCAGTGCTCTGCACGTTGTGCTGCATTTGCCAAATGATCCTTMTTCCCATAGGCCTGCAAAGACTTGCATGAATGAGCTGGCATTRCTTGTGCTGTTTTGACATAAACTCTTCTTCCAAGTGTCAAACCCCAGCGGTGTGGACATTTGATCATTCAGAAGCATCTGTTTGGCTGCTGGTGTTAGGGCTGCRTGGGTCTCTCTCTGCAGGAAGAAGCTTTTCCTTAAAGAGGTGTCTGTGCCAAGAGCTGGCAAAGAGAGGGTTGGCTGGATCCAGCCAAAGGTGCCGGAAGAGATTTTGCTCTGAATTTCCTATTGATTCCTTCTTGCTGAATGACAGCGTTCTTCCTCCCTCTGGAAAAGGAGATGTTTGCATTCCTGCCAAAGGAAAATGTTTGAAGTTTGGTTTTTTTCTTCTTTGGCTGCTTTTTCTTTGGCTTACTTTTTTAATGAATTCCAGCATCTGGATAAGCATCATTAGCAAAAYTTCTCCGTGTGCAGCAACTTACTCTGTTTTTAAGGAGCTGTACATCTCAGCTTCCTGGGCCAGCATCTCCATCCAGGGAAAAAACAAACAGCCAGCCTGGAGATGGGAATTTGTCCCACTGTGTGGAGGCTCAAGTTCTCCCCAGCACAAAGATGAAGGGAATGCAGTATCAAGGAGAAATGGCTGCTCTGCTGCTTYCTGAGCTGTTGGTGCAGTCTGTCCACAGCTGCCTTTTATCCAAGAAGCTGAAGTTTTGTAGAGGTATAAATCTTTCAACATTTGCAGTGTGACTCACTCCTGCCCTCTGGCAGCCTGGGTGTTTAACCCAGTAAGAAAGAAGGGACCATGAAGGAGGATTTATTGCCCTGTTCCAGCTGTTCTACAGTGTTCTTTATTGCACTGTTCTACAGTGTTCTTCACTGTRGAAGCCTTCTGGTTCGTAAAAGGAGGCACTCTGAGGAAAAGGAGGCATGGATGGAGATAGTCAGAGATCAGCATTGGCAACGTGCTCAGCCAGGCCTGTCCCTCTTTGCTGTCATTTTTCTTCTCCTAAAGAAAATGAGAGTGTAGAGGCCTCCCTGCCTGTTGTCCCTCTKTCGCCTCTGGAGTTTCACACTGAGGCTGCGCAAACTGCTGCAGAGCTCCAGAAATGCTGGTAATCTCTGGGCTGGCCCTTGCACTGCAGCCGTTTTCCAAAATAGCTCCTTGTCCTTCCCACAGCTCCTTCACCCTCCTCCACAGCTGCAGCCCCTTCACTTTGATATCACCAAAGTAAAATTCCCAGCTTCATTGCTCGCATCCAGTTAGCTGAACAAGCAGGAATTCTGGCRGAGGATTGTGCTGGGAACAAAGGACAGGTCAGGCTGCTTATGCTCAAGGGACAAAGGCAGCAGTGCTGGAGAGTGTTTGAGATTCAGAATATATTTCATTAGCTGCACAGTCACATCTTTTTATTGCCCATATGGATTGGGAGAAATACTGTGTGTTTGCATTTCCTAATTGACAGCTTGGTCAGGAGATATTTGGACATTTTTTGATCCTTGTTTTATGTGCCAGTGCCTTGGACTTAACTCCGCAGGTGCTGGTTCCTCCAAGCTTTGCCTGGGCACCCCAAGTTGCCCTCTGCTGTTTTGCTGGGGGCTGCTGGTGAGCTGCACTGCTCCAGCCATGCCCTGGGCCCCCTCCCACACCTCCAGAAAGTTCCTTTTGCTTCACCCACCTGGGGCTGTCACCGCAGGGTGAGAGGCCTGGCCAGCACGCAGTCCMTGAGGTTATCATTGACTGGGTTAAGGTGTAGCCACACTGCTCCTGGCCTGCAGCTCTGGTGGAGAAGTGTGACTGTCACACTGTGTCCCTGGAGCTCTGGGGCAGGTTGCCACAACGTGGTGCAACCAAGCAGGACTGGGAAGGCAATGGGACAGTGTGTTCCACCAGCAGGAAGCTGCCTGTGCTCTTTACAGGAACATCTCAAAGAGCAAGGGCATCTTCCAAACAGAAGCCACTGCTGCTCACAGCACCTTTGGCTGCCGAGTTTACTTGGGAGGTGGGTGCACCATCCCTTCTTCCTCTGCTCTTGTGTAAATCACTTTATCTTAAATTGTGCAGACAAACCACGAGGCTGTTTTTAACAGCTGAGGACATAGGCAGGGTGGAGAGGAAATGACARGTGACTTGGGACTGAACTGTCAGTCACAGTCACAGAGTCACAGCCTCAGAGTCCATTTTCTGAGCAAACGAGGGTGCACCCGGCCATGGCAGACCTTGATCCCTTGGCCAGCTGGCCATGAACTCTTCYACACAACAGGAGCACCATGACAGGCACCTGGGGTGAACCCAGRCATGCCACACTGCTATCAGGGAGTCCAGCCTCACCCTGCAGACCCAGCAGGAGGGGTTGGCAGCTGCACCCCTACACTGAGCTCTTTGCAGGGGCCCAGAGGGACTCAGGACACTGAATCAGCTGCGGGCCAGACACCGAGGTGTTTTCCCAAAATGACGCAGCAACAAAGACGACAGAACAGCTCAGTTTGATCCACACAACTATTTCTCTTTTTAATTATTAACTTGTGCCTTACAATAGAAGAGGAAAGAGTGCGAGCAAACAGTTTGCTGGTTCCAGGAACTACTCTGGCACCGCTGCGAGGGCAGCGAGGTCTGGTGATGATAACCCTGCCAGGGCGCTGACACACAACACGCAGAGTCTCCGGCTCTTGCTAAAGCGATCGCTGGCAATTTAAGGCATTGAAGGAAACCTAWGGTTGTTRAATCCTATATCAAATTTGGCACACKTTGGAACAGTTGGAGCGGAGACAAGGATGCTTTGCGGGCTGGTGTTCAGGAGTCCTGCAGCTTCCCAGTGCCAGCTGGGGCACGATGCTAATCTGGGCACAGGGTTTTCATGTGAACACTGTGCAACCAAACAAGGGGCCCTCAGACCCTGATATTTGGAAGCCAATGATACMACATGTGGTGCTGCACCCCATGGCACGGTGATGCCTTCTCCTCCAATGTACCAATTCCTTGCCCTGTGTCTGCTGCTTCTAAACCCCATGTGCCTGCCTGGACTAGTGCTGTCAGGAAACAACATTCATCAGTACAAAGAAAAATTAACATTCCTTATAGTTCAAAACATACGTGGCTGAGATCAGATGTCAGGTGTGGTTAGAGTCCAGTATGGCTATTTCTGTGCTTCTAGGGTTAAAAGTGGATGGCTACAGTTTGAGGAGTGCRGAAGAGTTTAGCTGTACACAGGTTTGAATAGTTGATGAAGGTATGTAGCCTTGGAACTAGTTATAGTAAACATGTTGAGTTGTTTCCCTCCCCTCCCCAGAGCTGGCTCAGCAGCATGCCCAGCTGGCTGCCCCTCGCCAGCCRCAGGAGGAGAGAGGGAGCGTGCTGTGAGTCCATGTGCCACCACCACAACGACCAACATGCATCTCTAGCTACCTGTCCTGCATGCCCCCACCCCATTTAAAAGGGACCAATGTGCCAAGCTCAGCCTCTGCATGGCAGGACCCGCAAGGAAGCCATCCCTGAGTTGGTGACCCCGGGTGGTTTTCGTGTTTCTAAGGGAGGGTTCCTGCGAGCCCAGTGCAGCTTCGTGCCCAGAGGAGCAATTTCGAGGCCGAGTGGAGATTGTTCCCCCTCAAATGTATGTGAACAGGGTCCTGGTGGTTACATCTTTGCATTTGCAAGAATTCCTCCATGCAGGTTTAACCTCCCTCTTTTCTTGACAGAGGTTATGGTGCCCTCAATCACCTCAGCCCTGCTGGATGATATTTTAGAGGTCACTTTAATAACCTCTCCTTGCTCTTCCTCCTTGAAGGACAGAGTAGAGGAACTAAAGCTCCTTGGCTGGAAGGAGTAAGTGGGGCTGGGCAGGGAATTGAGTGATGGAATGCCGCTGCTGCCCATGTTGAAGAGGGTCTCCTCTCCCTCCAGCAGCTTCCTGCAAGAACRTGACAAGGGAAGAGGTTAGTGTGGGGATGTGAAACATCTGCAAAACTTGAGAGCAAGTTGTGCCCTGCAGGCAAGTCCAAGCCACCACTCCAGGTCACACTCCTCCATGAAACTGGTTCAAAATCATATTTTGGTCAACGGTGTCTGGAGGACTTGCAATATGGGGTKCATGAGAGCAACTTTGTCCCCTCTTGCCTCCCAGAAAAATAAACACACGAACCACAGAGTTTCAGAAGCCTTTTGCATCTTTTGACTTTGCAAGAGAGACAAGTTTCCAACCCCAACTGTCCCCATGAAAAATATGGCTGAGGAACATGGTTCACAGCTCCTAGATCGAGGCAGGACATGGAGCCATGGCTGCTCTCCAGGCAGGAGCATGGCCAGTCCAGACAGGGGAGATGAACAACGCACTCGTGATGCTCTTTGACCGTGTACCCAGGTATTTTCTGGGCCCTTGAAAATTCCCCACCCCAGAAGGGTCTGGGGGTTGGGCTTGGGAAGTGTACAGGCAAAGCAGGCCACTTCCAGGAATAGAGCAGCCTTACCTGTAGGCGGCTATCTCGATGTCAAGGGCCATCTTGACATTGAGCAGGTCTTGGTACTCCCTCAAGTGCCGAGCCATCTCGTTTTTGGTGTTCCGCAGATCATCCTCCAGCTGGCCAATGGTGTCCTGCAAAGGTAAGGGCACTCAGGGCCGTGTTTGGAACGGGGACTTCTCCCGCAGGGTTTCAGCTTTGCCCATTGCAGAGACAGGGAGGCTGCAATGGGCGATTGATCCATGATGGCACATCCCACCAGGAGCTTGGGTACAATGAAATCTCACACTAGCAGGGATGAAAAAGCAGAGCACCAGCATGGATTGTAAGCATGTGCAATGGGGGAGGCTTTAGYCATTGATGGATTTACATTGTTTCCCATCTGCAGTGGGTCTGTGAGATGGGCAGATAGTGCATGGTGGTGGGACCCCAGTCCTGTGGGGGCAAGGCAGGCTGCAACAGAGGGAAATTGTGGGCTTAAATATTGTCAGAGTAGAGGCAGAGGCTCAACAGGACAAGAGACAGCACCCYGCACTGCAGCAGCTGAGAAGGGCTGCAGTCTGCTTCCACATGGGCTTAAGAAGGGTTGGGATACACTTCCAGGGGSTGGAAGGAGAGGGACTGCTGTCAGGGGTCCCCTCCAGAAAATGCSTCGGAGCCCTGGGGTGGGAGGGTGCAGGGATTTGGGGGTGTTACAGAGTCAGGGCCCTGCCCTGCAAGAGCCAGGGTGCTCAGCTGGACAATGGCATCCTCCTGGCATCCTTCCCATCAGTTTTGCCCTGCCTTTTGTTCCATTATACCCAATTCTAGCTGTGATGTGGAGGACTCTGTGGCTAGATTTTCTGCTAACAAAGGAGACTAATCTTTTCTATTTTTTTTTTCTCAGAACACAAGCAGTCTGTATTTTTCCCACACACATCTAGGTATCTAAGCAGCAGCTTGAAAGCAGTGAAACCTGCTTTCATAGGGCTCTTCCCAATGAGAAGGTTTCCCGCTGYGAGCTGCCCCACTGTGCCACCAGAGGAGCGTGATTTGGAACAGCAATGAGTCAGCAGTTTGCATTTAAGCCACGGTGTAGCCCTGCCTGCAAATCCCTGCAATGGCCACTGCCAACCTCCACWCTCCTCCACCCTCTCCCAGAGTCAGGTCTTCACAATTGCTTCCAGATCCTCTGTTCAGGCAAACAATCTTTGTCCTGCCACATCATTCCCATGTTGTTCCCGTCCTATTCCCATCATGTCCCCARTTTCCTGTCCTGCCTAACCTTCCTCGTGGACAGCACAGAGACACCCACGGGATGTGGAACTGCGCAAGGAGCAGGGAGCTATGCTGAGTATTCTAGCTCCTCACACCACTGCAAACCTGTCCCCTAACAAAGAGCTCTTGCATGTTGGTTCAGATTTGACTGGCCAGACCACAAACATAAAGATATGCCCCTACTTTGGCAGAATAATTTTAAAAGTCCAGACAATAGGAATGTTCTCTTTYATGACACACTTCCAACCTTTTTCACTGTTTGCAGACAAGGAAATTACTTAGCTGCTAGACATGCACATTGCTCAAAAGACTTCTAAGTATTGCTACACATAAAACAGATCCTGAGACTCAAACAGAAAGGCACTGCTGTGCTGTCATTAAAGCAATTTCAATTATGGAGCTGTTTAATCCAGTTGCTTCATTTTTTTTTCCCCCAGTTGATAGGTTGGTCCCAGAATCCCTCTTTCACATGGCATCAAAACTATTTTAGATTACCGTGTATAACTTTTTCACTATCGATAATATTTTATATTGCCTATTTCCACAAAAGTTGTTGAAAACCACCTCAACTAATTCAGGAAGCTTGCAAGTAGCTTGSAGCTAAGTCATGAATTCTAGGGCACCTGGCAAAATTTGGCCTTGGAAATGACAARGCATTACTTAGGCCCTTTCAGGTATGATTAAACGCAGTATTTAGAAGGAAATTACTTGATTTAGAAATCACAGATCATTTAACAGCCATATAATAAAACAATCTCAGGATTTATTTTATTATAAATCATGAACATTACCCTGTAGCAAGAAAATGTGGCAATACTGCGATAATGGAATAAGAGATATGGAGCACTCAGTGTCTGCCCCACAGACACTGTGAGTCTTTCCACAGACATAAGAGATGCTGGGATCTGTCTGCAAATTCAGACTTAACTTTTGCAGAGCTCYAATTTCTGCAGTGCAGGTGCCAAGAGCCAGGCCACAGGGCAAGAGGCCAAGCCTGGGCAGACAGCTTCGAGGAATTATCGACACWATAATGTGTAGGCAATTTTGGACCTGATCCTTAAGGAACAGGGCAGGGATGGATCGATGCCCCAAAGAGAGGTACCATGTGTAGGGATTTCCCCTGCAGGAAGGGGGTTTTGGAAGGGGTGTCCTGGCCTGCTTTGTCTACACCTGCCCTAAGGGTTTGTCTCTGGATGGAAGGTGAAGGCAAGAGGCAATGCCATGGTGGGGCAGGATCTGTGTGCTGGGCAAAGAGGCACAATTCTGTGTGGTGGGAAGGCTGCAGAGATGCCTGGCACTGCGCAGCACTGATGGGTGGTTGCTGAGCAAGCCAGGAGGGGTGGGTGCCCTCCTGTGCTGGGGGTGTTTAATGTAGCGCGGCACCGATCGGGACAGTGCAGGTGATGGTGCTGAGCGATGCGGGGTGGGAGGGGCACCGCATGGGGCCGGTGTGCCCAGCGCTGCACAGAACTGCAGGAGGGGGTGCTGCAGCCAACAGAGCTGCACTGCACATTTCGGAGGCCGCGGAGATGCTCAGAGCTGCACAGGATCAAGGGAGGGAGAGTGCGGGATGGCGGGTGCCGGTGCGGCACCACGCCGGGGGTTTGCGTGGGATGAAGATTCCCGGTGCTACACAGCACGAGGGGCGGCTGCTGGGATGGAGGTGCCGACTGATGGCGCTGATGGCGCGGGAGGAGGATGCTCGGTGCCGCCCAGTGCCCGGCGCTGCCCGGTGCCAGGGGAGGGGACGGTGACGGTTCCCGGCGCCGCCCGGCTCACCTGAAGGCCGGCGGCCTCGGCGTTGTGCCGCTCCTCCAGCTCCTGCAGCTGCCTCTCCAGGGACTGGTGAGCGCCGCGCAGGCTCTCCATCTCGACCAGGCGCGCCTGGAGCTGGCGGCGGCACTCACCGGCCTCCCGGCGGCTGGCGCGCACGGCCTCCTGGCTGCGGGCCGCCCGCTCGTGCAGGCGGGCGCAGCGGGCGCGGTACCAATCCTCGGCCGCCTGCAGGTTGCGGGCCGCCAGATCCTCGTACTGCGAGCGCAGCTCCCGCAGCGCCGCGGCCAGGTCGGGCCGCGGGGTCGGCGGCGGGGCCGGGGCCGGGAGCGCGGCGCCCAATTCGGCGAGATGCTCGGCGTGGGCGCTGCGCATCGCCGCCAGCTCCTCCCGCAGCGCCGCCGCCCGCCGCTCCAGGTCGGCGCTGGCGCGGGAGGCCGCCTCGGCCGCCTGCTGCCGGGAGCGCAGCGCCCGCTCCGTCTCAGCGCGGTTCCGCGCCTCCTCCTCGCAGCGCGCCCGCAGCCGCTGCGTCTCCTCGGCCAAGCGCGCCCGCTCCAGCGCCGCCTGCGCCCGCTCCCCGTGCGCCTCCTCCAGCCGGGCGCGGAGGGCGCGCAGCTCCCCGCCCAGCAGCTGCCCCAGCCGGCGCGGCTCGTCCGAGCGTTGTCGCAGCGCCGCCAGCTCCGCCGCCAGCGCCCGGTTCCGCTCCTCCAGCGCCCGCACCCGCTCGATGTACCCGGCGAAGCGCTCGTTCAGGCCCTGCAGCTGCTCCTTCTCGCTGCCCCTCGCCCACCGCGGCTCGGCTCCGCGTTCCCGCACCGCCGCCGGCTCCGCGCCCGGGCGCGCCCACCGGCCGGCCGGCATCTCGGGGCGCCGYGGGGCGTCCGCGTAGAGGTGGCGGTAGGAGGCGGCCGCCGGCTCCGCGCTGTAGCTCATGGCGGCGGAGCGGGACCGGCGGCGATGCCGGCGCTTATGTACGGCGGGGCGGAGCGCGGCGCGGTGCGGAGGGGGCGCGG